GAATACTGAGAGGATATTTAGAATATACTGAAAGGATATTTATATAATTGGTGAAAATGTCTATGCTTGAATTAGTGAAAGTACAAGGTAAACCACACACACAAAAAGTTATTAATTCTGGGGGAAAAATGTGAAAAGTTGTGCATGCTGAGTTCTGTGTAGCATGGATAGTCATAATCATTTTGATCTAACTAAAATTATGTTATAACCTTACTGGGTGAGGGGAAGTAGGGAAGTGTCCATGTTTATAGAAGGAAAAGGAAAGAAAGCTAAATAGTCATCCTTCTGGAAGGGAATTAACATGTAATATCAAAGGACATACGAAGAAAATGAAAAGACAACCCAATAAATGGTAGAAAATATTTGTAAATCATATATACAATAAGGGACTTATATCCAGAATATATAAAGAACTCTTACAACTCAATAATAAAATGACAATCCAATCAAAAATTAGCAAAGGATATGAGTAAACACTTCTGCAAGGAAGATATACAAATGGCCAATAAGCACAAGAAAAGGTGCTCAACATCATTAGTCATATCAGCGAAATGCAAATAAAAACCACAAGAGACTACTTCATACCCACTAGGATGACTAGAATCAAAAAGTCAGATAATAACAAATGTTGGCAAGGATGTGGAGAAATTGGGACCCTCATAGACTGCTGGTGGAATTGTAGAACGATAGTCACTTTGGAAAACAGTCTGGCAGTTTTTCAAACAATTAAACATAGAGTTACCATATGAGCCAGCAATTCCACTCTAGGTATAGATCCAAGATAAACAAAAACTTACATCCACACAAAAACTTGTATATAAATATTCATAGCAGCATTATCAATAATCAAAAGTGCAAACAACTCAAATGTTCAGCAACTGATGAACAGATAAACAAAATGTGCTATATCTATACAATGGAATATTATTTATCAATAAAAAGAATCAGGGCTTCCCTGGTGGCACAGTGGTTGAGAGTCCGCCTGCCGATGCAGGGGGCACGGGTTCGTGCCCCGGTCCGGGAAGATCCCACATGCTGTGGAGTGGCTGGGCCCGTGAGCCGTGGCCGCTGAGCCTGCGTGTCCGGAGCCTGTGCTCCGCAACGGGAGAGGCCACAACAGTGAGAGGCCCACGTACCGCAAAGAAAAAGAAAAAAAAAAGAATCAAATATTGATGTATGCTACAATATGAATTAACCTGAAACATTATGCTAAGTGAAAAAAGCCAAACATAAGAGACTACATATTGTGTGATTCTATTTATATGAGATGTCAAGAATAGGCAAATCTAAAGGAACAGATAGATTAGAAATGCCAAGCACTGGGGGGAAGAGGATTGGAAGGGATGGAAAGTGATTGCTAACAGGTACAGCGTTGCTTTTTGGGGTGATGAATACGTTCTAAAATTGACTGTAGTGTTTGTTGTACAACGATGAATATACAAAACATGGTTAAATTGTATACTTCAAATGGGTGAAGTGTATGCTTTGTGAATTCTACCTTGATAAAGCTGTTATATTTTTAAAAATAAACTGTGTGATATATGTAGAAATAAAATATATGACAATAGCCCAGTGGGAGGAATGGGGGGAATGGCAGCATACTACCATAAGGTTTTCTTTTTCAGCTTTACTGAGGTATAACTGACATATAAAATTGTAAGATATTTAAAGTGTACATTGTGGTGATTTGATGTACATACACATTGCAAAAGGATCCCCCCATCTAGTTAATTAATGCATCCATCACCTCACATATTTATCTTTCTTTTTGTATGTGAGAACATTTAAGATTTACTCTCTTGGCAAATTTCAATTATACAATACAGTGTTATAAACTATAGTCACCATGTTTTATATTTGATCTGCAGATCTTATTCATCTTATAGTTGAAAGTTTGTACCCTTTAACCAACTTCTTCCTATTTCCCTGATCTGCAAGCCCTGGCAACAACTTTTCTACTCTTCCTGTGAGTTTGCTTTTTTTTTTTTTTTTTTTTTTTTTATTTTTCTCATACACGAAACCATGCAGTATTTATCTTTTTCTGTCTGGCTTATTTCACTTAGCATAATGCCCTCAATGCTACCCCTGTTGCCACAAATGGAAGTATTTCCTTCTTTCTCATGACTGCATAATATTCCAGTGTGTGTCTGTGTGTGTGTGTCTGTATCTTGGCTATTATGAATAATGCTGCAATGAACATGGGAGTGCAGATATCTCTTCGACATCCTGCTTCTATTTCATTTGGATATATACTTAGAAATGGGATTGCTAGATCATATGGTAGTTCTATTTTTTTAATTTTTTGAGGAACTGCTATACTCTTTTCCATAAATTTAGCTGCACTAATTTACATTCCATCAATAATGCACAAGGGTTCCTTTTTCTCCACATTCTCACCAACACTTGCTATCTTACATCCTTTTGATGACAGGCATTCTAAAAAAGTGATATCTCATTGTGGTTTTGATTTGCATTTCCCTGATGATTAGTGATGCTGAACACCTTTTCCCGCACCTGCTAGTCATTCATATGTCTTCTTTGGAAAAATATCTATTTGGTTCCTCTGACCATTTTTTAATCAGATTGTTTATTTTTTTGCTATTGAGTTATATGAGTTCTTTATATATTTTGAATATTAACTCCTTATCAGATATATGATTTGCAAATATTTTCTCCAATTCTGGAGTTACATTTTAATTTTATTGGTTATTTCTTTTGCTGTGCAGAAGTTTTTTAGTTGGATATACTCCCAACTTGTATTATTTTTGCTTCTGTTGCCACTACTCTATGGTTCTTATACCACATGTGAAGTGACATAATATTATTTGAAGGTAGACTGAAGTCAGCTAAAGATGTAATCAATAAACCTGAAAGCAACCATTAAAATAACAAAACAATGAGTTCTATCCAATAAATCAACAGAGGAGTAAAATGAGATCATAAAAAATATTCAATTAATCCAAAAGAAGGCAGAAGAAAAGGAAAAGAAAGCAAATAGAAAAAAAGTGCCATGATGGCAGATTTAAATCAAAACATATCAATAATCTCATTAAGTACAAATGAAATAAACACCCTAATTCAAAGTAAGATATTCTGGGAATTCCCTGGTGGTTCAGTGGTTAGGACTCTGCACTTTCACTTCTGAGGTTGTAGGTTCAAATCCCTGGTCAGGGAACTAAGATCCCACAAGCTGCGTGGCCAAAAAAAAAAAAAGAAGAAGAAACAGGTAACCTGAATAGCATCATATCTATTAAATATTTAAGAAGTTGAATTTAGAGTCAAAAACATTCCTACAAAGAAAATTCCAAGTTTTAATGGCTTCATTTGTGAATTCTACCGAACATTTAAGGAAGAAATAGTACCAGTTCTACACAAACACTATGAGAAAATTGAAGAGGAAGGAATGCTTCTAACCTCATTGTATGAAACCAACTAATTTTGTTCCAGACATCAGTTGTTCTAGGTTACCTCTCATTTGCATATATTGAATTTTAAGGTGTTTCAATTATTTAAGGAAACTTCCAATTCTCTGCCTGCCCAACAGCCAAAACTTTTCCATATAATGTTTTTATTGTAAATGAACCTTAAGAGCAATTATCTCTACAATATGGAAAGGCTTCTTAAACATCGATAAGCCTTCAATGGATCTGCAAAGTAATCACATTTTAAATCAAATTTTACTGATGTACAAGACGTCTTTCCTTTTTAAGCACATGAGCAAAAATATACAGGTGACCCTTGAACAACATGGGTTTGAATGGTGCGGGTCCACTCATAGGTGGATTTTATTCAAAAAATACAGTATGACACAATCCAGTTGCAGAACCCTCCTATGCAGAGGGCTGACTGTAATGTTACACACCTGCGTGGGTTTTCAACTGTATGGGGGGCGGGGAGGGGGACACTCCAAACCCTGCATTGTTCAACAGTCAACTGTACATGTATTTCATTAAAGTAAATATTTTTCAATTCACCTTAAATGGAAGAATGAAAACCATCTATTCCTTTCTTTATAGAATGTGCCTATAGGCACTAAGTATTTACTTATTATTTTTTTAATAGATCTTTATTGGAATATAATTGCTTCACAATACTGTGTTAGTTTCTGTTGTACAATAAAGTGAATCAGCCATATGCATACATAAATCCCCATATCCCCTCCCTCTTGAGCCTCCCTCCCACCCTACCTATCCCATCCCTCTAGGTCATCGCAAAGCACCAAGCTGATCTCCCTGTGCTATGCAGCAGCTTCCCACTAGCTATTTTACATTTGGTAGTGTATATATGTCGATGCTTCTCTCACTTCATCCCAGCTTACGCTTCCCCCACCACGTTCTCAAGTCCATTCTCTATGTCTACCTCTTAATTCCTACCCTGCCACTAGGTTCATCAGTACCACTTTTTTTTTTTAGATTCCACATATATGTGTTAGCATACAGTATTTGTTTCTCTCTTTCTGACTTACTTCACTCTGTATGACAGACTCTAGGTCCATCCACCTCACTACAAATAACTCAATTTCGTTTCTTTTTATGGCTGAGTAATATTCCATTGTATATATGGCACTAAGTATTTAAATTTGTAAAATATCCAAAGACTTTGTTTCATTCCTAAATGTTAAGCATATTTGAAAACTAATCAAACTTCACATAATGATCACCTTTTAAAGGACCTTTGGAACTAAAACAATTTTTCTCTATTTATTAAGCAAATTATTGTCATCTAAGGTTTTTGAAAACTATATCCAAATTCTTTAAGTAAATATTTGATAAATGAAAATATACCAATTCCTCACCTAAGAAACTTTTAATTTTAAATATATCATATATGATAATACACTGAGGAAAAAAGTTTCCTTTAAAAAGGTATAATACTCCAGATATTAATAATGACGTACATTTCCAAAAGATTTTCATATTTTCCAATTGTTACATCATATTAAGACAAGTTATATCACATAAGGTATAACAATATAACATATAATTTGTACATAAACATACCGTGTCTTGCTTTGGAATTTGGACTAAAACAGAAAGAAGCTGCTCTGTATCAAGAAATCTTGCTAAAACTGAAACAAACAAACAGAAACTATGAGCAGTTAAACTTTGTTACATTTTTTAAATATACACTATGTAAAATATTATCCTCAAGTAATAGAACAGAACAGTTTTACCTGAAAATATTACTTGTTTGAATTATCTTCATCTATCTTACATTTACCAGGAGTAAACTAATAAATTCTAGTGGTCTTTTCCTAATTTTGATTACTCAGAACTTGTCTTCAAATTTTGCCACTGTTGATCACCCCTTCCTTCTTGAAACTCTACTTCTCTGACTTTTAGATGTTGCTTATCATAATTTTCTTCCCACCTTTTTGACTTCTTACTTTTCTACATGATACTTAAAAGATCAGAGAAGATTAGTTTGAAAGCATAGTTCAACCACTAACCATATAACCTTCCAAAAGTTACATAACTTCTCTGAACTTTAGTTGTTCTCATCTTTTAAATGTGGATAATAACATCTTCCTCCTAGGGTTGTAGTGAGGATTAAGTGCAATAATATGTGCATAGGAGTACCTTGCACATACCAGAGCTCAAAACTGTTATTTTATTCTTCTCAACTCATTTTCCAGCTTCAAGTACACTATAAAAGTATATGTATAGATAATTGGAATCTATCCCTTTTAAATGTCCCCAGGTGTTTTTTTCTTTACCTTAAACTATAGTAACTATTTCTTAATGACTCATGGTTATTATCATCATTGTAATGTGTGATCTCAAAAGTTTTTGTGTAAACATATTGATACTTTCACAAAGTGGCCCCAAACTGTTATCCTTTAAAAAAAAGAACTAAATACAAAAATTTTATGTCACTTCTTTCTTGTTCAAATTTTTGATGTTCTTCAGTTTGCCTACCTCTAGAGCTGTGCCTCTTTCTAAATTACCACTTCTATGGTAATTATGTTAAAACTGTGGTTAAAAAATTAGAGTAAATAGGCTGAGTATACTATTATACTATTATATTATACTACCATGACATTTTATATGTGAGTCCACTAGTCAGACTCTCTTAAGCCCTCACATAGATTGGCCTTTCTCTTTTTCAGTCTCTTCCTTCTTCCTCTCCCCAAATCTACTGTAACAAACAAACAATGTTTCTAAAATAAGGATTTGACCATATATATTACTCTCTTGGTTTAGAATCATCACCTCCCTATTGATTTCAGGATAAAATCCAAACTTCTTAGCATTATATAAAGGCTTTTCATAAACCAGCCTCAATTCTCATTTCCTGCCATTCCCCAAGGCTTCAAGTCATAAATAACTACTGGCCATGCCTTAAATACAGCAAGTTCTTTTGTAACAATGTAAGTATAACTGCAGAAGCTTATGTTAACTCTATCCTCCTCAACTTCCCAGAAAAAGAAGTGTACCCTAGAAAGTAATGACTGCTCAGGATCACAGCAGCACCCATATTGGATCTTTATCCCAGCCACTGCATCCAAAAAACATTTTTGTTACCCCTATGCACATCAACATACCTTGCTCAGGCATGTTCCCTTTGTCTTGAGTATCATTTCTAGAATTCTCCTGTTGTCAAAATCCTACTCATTCCCTTAAGACAGAGCTAAAATATTATCTCTGTGAATCCTGGATACTATATTTATCCCAGCTCCCTCCTCTATGTTTCCACAAAATATTAAATTATTATTGTGTTTTTCACACTGTATCATATTTATTTATTTAGAGTTCTGTGTCTCTAACATGAATGTAAGATCCCTGAGGACAAAAACTTATAACTTAATCTTCATGTTTTCATCCCTATTGTAGAATGCCTACAAGAAAGTACGTACTGTACTTTTTATGAGGTTCACATTCTCATTATTACATGTTAAGATAAATTATATACTGTCAAGATAAAGAAAATATAGAAATATTTAACATTTGTAGATGCCAATTTAAAACTTTCTATTATAAGGAATTATAAAACTTAAAATATATGAAAACTAAAGCTTCAAATAAAATCCAAGTTTTTCATTAAAATCTCATCATATAGAACATTATAATCTTTGGAACAACAGAATACAATTTTCAACATGTTTAATAATAAATCAATAGCTTAACAAATATGAACACCCATTATGTTCTAGACTCATATGGGAATCATCCAACAAAACATTCACTTACAGTACTGTAAGATAAGTGCCATAACAAGATACTACAGACAACATATAGAAAAGATACCTAACATAGACTTGGGGAGGCAGAGAGGCTTCTAGAAGAAGTGACATCTAAACTGGGATGGTAAATTATGAACTGCAGTTGGCTAAAGAGTAGCTTGGGAGAAGAGGTTACAGAGAAGAAAGAGAAAAGATTCTAGACAGAACACTCTTTGACATGAATGGTCAATATTTTTTTGGACCTGTTTCCTAAGGCAAAGGAAATAAAAATAAACAAATAAGACCTAATGAAACTTAAAAGCTTTTGCACAGCAAAGGAAACCACTGACAAAATGAAAAGACAGTCTACTGAATGGGAGAAAATATTTGCAAATGATATACCCAGGAAGGGGTTAATATCCAAAATATATAAACAGCTCAAATAATTCAATATCAATAAAACAAATAATCCAATTAAAAAGTAGGCAGAAGACCTGAATAGACATTTTTCCAAAGAAGACATACAGATGGCCAACAGGCACACGAAAAGATGCTCAACACTGCTAATCATCAGAGAGCGCAAATCAAAACCATAATGAGATATCACCTGACACCTGTCAGAATGGCTATCATCAAAAAGACCACAAATAACAAATGTTGGCAAGGTTGTCAAGAAGAGGGAACCTTCATACACTGATGGTGGGAATGTAAATTGGTGCAGTCACTGTAGAAAACAATATGGAGGTTTCTCAAAAAACTAAAAATAGAACTACCATATGACTCAGCAATTCTACTCCTGGGTATATATCTGAAAAAAACAAAAACACTAATTTGAAAAGATGCATGCACCCCAATGTTCACAGCAGCATTACTGACAATTGCCAAGATATGGAAGCAACTTAAGTGTCCATCAACAGATGAGTGAATAAAGAAGATGTGGTATATGTGTGTGTACATATATATGGAATACTACTCAGCCATAAAAGAAGGATGAAATTTTGCCATTTGCGAAAACATGGATGGGTCCTGGAGGGTATTATGCTTAGTGAAATAAGTCAGGCAGAGAAAGACAAACACTTATACATGGAATCTAAAAAATAAAACAAACAAAAGAGTATAGCAAAACAGAAACAGACTCACAGATACAGAGAACCACCTAGTGGTTAACAATGGGGAGAGAGTAGGGAGGAGGGTCAAGAAAGGGGTAGGGGATTAAGCGGTACAAATTACTATGTATAAAATAAGTGAGCTACAAGGATATATTATACAGCATAAGGAATATAGTCATTATTTTGTAATAACTTTAAATGGAGTATAATCTATACAAATTTTGAATCATTATGTTGTACAACTGACACTAATATTGTAAATCAACTATACCCCAATGGAAATAAATTAAATTAAAAAAAATTTAAAAGCCAGAACATGAGACAGGATATGTTCAAGTAACTAAAAGAAGTTCAATTATACTAGAAGGCAGAATGACAAGTGACGAGTAACAAGAGATGCTGTGGGAGATGATAAAGAAATAGCCATCCAGAAGAGTTTGGATTTTATCCTAAAAGTAATGAGAAGAGAATGAAGGATTTTATGCAAGTGGATATGTGGTAGCCCCACAAAGATGTCCACATCTTAATCCCTGGAACCTTTGAATATGTTATCTGGTAAAGGGGACTTTGAAGATGGGATTAAGTTAAGCATCTTGAAATGGAGAGATTATTCTGGATTATTTGTTAGTCCCAAAGTAATCACAAGGGTGCTTATAGGAAGGAGGCAGGGAAATTCCCTGGCAGTCCAGTGGTTAGGGCTCTGTGCTCTCACAGCCGGGGGCCCAGGTTCTATCCCTGGTCAGGGAACTAAGATCCCACAAGCTGCGTGGCCAAAAAAGAAAAAAAAAAAAAAGAGGGAGGTAGGAGGATCAGTCAAAGAGAGAAGATATAAGAACAAAAGCAGAGGTCAGAAAGTAGAGAAGAAACTATTCTGCTGGCTTTGAAGATGGAGCAAGGGCCATAAGCCAAGGAATGTAGATGGCCTCTAGGAACTGGAAAGGCAAGGAAACAGTTTTGCCCCTAGAGCCTCCAGAAGAAACGGTGGACCTGCTAACACATTGATTTTAGCCCAGCAAAACTGATTTCTGACTTCCAGAACTGTAAGATAATAAATTCATGTTGTTTTAAGCCACTAAATTTGTGGTACTTTGTTACATCAACAACAAGAAACTAATGAAGAGTAATATGCTCAGATTTATATTTTCAAAAGATCTCTCAGGCTCTCATATAGAGAAGAGACTGTAAAGAACAAGACTGGAGGAGGAAGCCAAACAGAAGGCTGCTGCAATAAATCAGATTATAGATAAATGGTACCCCAGGCTGGAGCAGCAGCATTGGGAATAGAAGCTAAACATGCAAGAGATATATAGAAAAGAGACTTTGCAAAATTTGATGATTAATTTCAGGGAAGGGAAGTGTCAAGAATGACTTCCAGGTATCTGGTTTGGTAAACAGCTTGGATGTAGAGCTATTCTCTGAAATCAGAAGGGATTGATTCAGAAGGGAAGATGGCACAGTTTGGACACATTAAATGTGAGGTGATTAAGGAACATCTAATAAGTGCTCAGTAGGCAATAAGATATATGGGGCTGAAGGTCTATAGAGATATCTGGACATGAGATGTAAATTTGGAAGTTACGAATACGTGAATGATAATTATAAGACCAAGAAGGTGGGTAAATCATATAATAAGAATATACAGGGTAAAAAGACAACCCAGGACATACCTTTGAAGAGCCATAGCATTTAGGGAACGAGCAAAGGAAAACAAGCCTAAAAAGAAGACTCAGAAGTCATTCTCACTTCCATTTGAAAGAAAGGACTCTGGGGTTTTTACTGTTACCTGATCAATGACAGAGCTTTCTGAAGACATTCCAAGACAGTATACAGTCCTGTAGTCTATTTGGAAATAGTAAAGATAACATTACAAGGGAGATACCCCATTGGTTTTGACTGGATAGTCATAAACTCATTAAAGAAATGAGTGACAGAGCTTAAAAAAAGGGAAACTCCAAAGAAATAGGAAGAAAACTAGGAAACTGTATAATCACAGAAGCAAAGAAAGGCAGTAATTCAATAAGGAGAGATTTTTGGCAGCACCAAAGAAGTTGGATTTCAAATAGGAGAACTAATATGTGTCCATTAAATTTAAAAACAATGAGACTATGGGTGAATGTTTTAGGCTGGGTGCTCCAGAAGCAGAGGCTGAGATGAAGATTCATGTGCAAGTAATATATTAAGAATCTGCTTCCACGAGAAACCAATAAAGAAGACAAGAAGGACAGGAAAGAGAAAAAAAGCCAAACAAAAGTATAATTTCAGGCAAAGTCCTATGGAAGGTAACTTCAACCGATCCTGTAGAAGGCTTGTGGACTTTAAGTTACATTCATGGTTTTTGCCAAAACAGTGTGAGACAGCTGGGCTTTCATACTCCCACAACATTCAGTCATTTAAGGTCCACAAGGCACTTTTGGCACTCCGTGCCTGAGAGCAAAGCCCTCTAATAGCCTGAGGGCAGGCCTCTAAAGAGAGTCCAGGTATAGGCCATTAGAAGCAAAAGCACACATAGCAGGGAAAAGGGGCACAAAGAAAGGTAAAAGAGACCCAAGAAGATCTGGACAGAGAACCAACAATATCTGCTATAGTGACCTTGACAAGAGCAGTCTCAGTGCAGGAGTGAGCACAGAGACAAGACTGATTGATTAAGACGTAGTGATGAACAGAAGACAGTGTGTGCAGAAAATTTGTTTTTCAACAAGATGTTTAATGGAAGAAGAGAGATAAGGTGTTGCTGTGAACAAGGCTGACCAGTTAAAAAGTGGCCTTTTTGTACCTTTCCCAAAGCCTCACAAAATACACAGGAATATATAGAAAAAAATGAATATACAAAACAACATTGGAAATGCAGAGTCACAGTCAGTATAATGTCAGAATTTTGAAGAAATTATACTAATTAAAAGGTATTTAGAATTGGACTTAGGAAAACCTAAAGGCTGTAAATGCCTTCTAGATTTTCACGTACCACTTCCGTTTAGACCTCCAGAGCAACAGGAGGGGAGGTTGGGGAAGTGAGGTTACGGAAGACAGATGAAGTTGCTAGAAACCAGGAATTGGACTCAGATCAGTGCATATAAACTGCCCCTCCACCTACAGATTTAAAAAGAAAATTGCACTGCCATGCCAGTGAACAGATGCCAAGGGCAATTCTCTTACCTCATGTTATGAGTTGGATTGTATCCCCCAAAAAGAAACTTTGAAATTCTAAACCCTAGTATCTGAATGTGATATTACTTGGAAATTGGACCTTTGCTGATGTCATCAAGTTAAGATAAGGTCATTAGGATGAGCCTTAATCCAACAGGACTGGTATCTTTTTAAGAAGACAATGTATTTTGTTAAAAAATTTGTATTTGGGCTTCCCTGGTGGCGCAGTAGTTGGGAGTCCACCTGCGGATGCAGGGGACAAGGGTTCGTGCCCCGGTCTGGGAGGATTCCACATGCCGCGGAGTGGCTGGGCCTGTGAGCCATGTCCACTGAGCCTGCGTGTCCGGAGCCTGTGCTCCGCAACAGGAGAGGCCACAACAGTGAGAGGCCCGCGTACCGCAAAAAAAAAAATTGTATTTGTAAAAGTAGATGATATTCATTTACCTGACTGAAGTCCGAAAAAGAGTTCCTCATCTTGAAGCAGTTCTTGAACACAATCTAACCTCATGTTAATGGTTTCAACATCAATTAGAGGTTCTAATATATTAGAACGAAGTCTTCTACTTCCTCCAGGAGTCTTAGTGTAATTTAGAACACCAAAGAGTGTGTGATTGCTCCTTTAAAAACACAAGTTAGGAAAATTTCATTAAGTATACTAAGGAAAACCCAATAAAACTGTAATTTAACTTTTAAAATAATCCTATAATCTACGGTAGTGATTCTCAAACTTTAATATGCATACAAATCACATGAGGATTCTGATTCAGTAGGTCTGGGATGAGGCTTGAGAATCTACGTTTCAAATACACTCTCAGGTATGCTGTCAGTCAGTGAAGCACACTTTGATTAACAAGATCGACAGAATCTTCTTGCATTTAGTTCATGGCTTTTTTCATAGATCAGTTAACAATACTCAGACTAATATAAAATATTCTAGTCCATGGCATTCCATCAATAATAGCAAGATATCAACAACACATCCTTAAGGGGAGAGCTTTTACACTGATAAAATGAGTAATATAATCACTCTGTTCTAACTTAAGAAGTTAGAGAATTATAAGTAAAAGAGAAAGAAAGAAAATAATATCAGGTACAGAAACTGTTAAAAACAAACAAACAGAACTGTACAGAGAATGACCAGGAGGGTTGATTTAGTTAGGTTGGTTGAGAAAGACCTGTATGTATATTCGGCAGTTGAGTTAAGAAGGCATCCATGCCAAGATGATGATGAGATGGGAATAATGATGACAATTGATGGTGAGTATAGCTAACATATAGTGAACACAAAGTATGTGCCAGGCCTTATTCTAAGCACTTTACATATATTGACTTACTTAATTCTAACAATGATGGTATGAGATAGATGCTATTATTAACATTTTACAAGGGAAGAAACTGAAACACAAAGAAATTAAGTAACTTGCCCAAGGTTTCCAAATAAGTGAACAAGAAAAGAGTTACTGTTTAAAAGGGCAAAACAGAACAGCAATTTAAGCCCAGGTAGTCTTTCTGGCTCCAGAACCAGAAAGAAGACCAAAGTTGGTGGAGCACTGCAAGTGAGGGTAAGAATTAAGGGAGATGAATGAAGAAGTTGAAAGAGACCAGAACACATAAGTCCTTGTAGGCCACGGTAAAGAGTCTGAATTATATTCTAAATATAATAGGAGCTCTGGAAGATTTTAAGCAGGAAAGTTCTAAGATCTAATTTCTGGTTTAAAAGGATCACACTCTGGCCACTAGGTTGAGAACAGACTAATTGTAGGAGGGGAAGAAAGCAGAGAGATGAGTTAGGGGCTATTACACTATACAGCAGTCTAGGCTAAAATGATGGAGGTATGGGTTAGGGTTGTAGCACCGGAAATGCTAAGAGGTGATCCAGAATATGTATGTACTCTAAAGGTTGAGTCAGGAGGATTTACTGACATACTGAATCTGGGTTAAGAGAGGAAAGGAAATAAAAATGACTCAAGTAATCAGACTGCCAAATTTTTGGTATATCAATTTAAACAAATTTTTAGGGAACTATTCAAATCAAGTCCTGGCTGGGAGTGGGGGTCATCATAGGTAAGTCACAGGCACAATTTTGAGAACTTGTCTTCTGCAGGAACAAAGGAGGTGGGGAGCATACCTAAATCTGCCATTTGCTATAGAAATCAATGGGTGAAACAGTATGCTGAACAAGTAACAAATCCATAGAAGCATTAGAGCTATTCAGACAGTTCAGTAGATAGCATGCCCATCTTTTAACCTAATATTCTTTGGTTCAAGTCTGTGAAAAGACCTCAATTTCTTCTTTCAACTATAATATGAACTCTTGGAGGTCAAATATCCTATCATTTAATATATAGCAGGAACTCAAGCAATGTTTGACAATGATAATGGTAAACAATGATTAACTATGAAATGTGACAAAGTAAAACTGAGTACGAAACCCTTTGTAATAATTACCAGCCTTGGTTATTGACTGTCTACGTTACCCCATGTTATTTTAATTTAGAAAGTCAATGACAGAGTACTTTATCCAGATATTATTTTATCCCTTTTTTCCTAGCAATAGAAAAAATATTATTTATTCACTAAGCTGAAAAGGAATAATTACAATTAATTATAAACTCCTTTAAAACGTTATAATTTTAGACCATCATTATTCAGTGGAACTACAAAGGTGTTGAGGTCACTACACTGACAATGACAAATAGTATACACAGTACTATTCTTACCTTTACTAAAAGTAGTGCCAACAGTACCTAGATAGATCTAAACTGTTCTTGATGATTAAAGTAAATAATTTAAAAAATTAGATATTATAGGTTTCTAAGTTTGTAACTGTAAATAATGTCTGGAGATTTCACATAATTAAAAGTGAAGCCAAGATAAGAGCACACAAAGTGACAGAAATACTTAAACACTATGGCTCTGAAATTGGCAGTGAGCACCTTAAGGTTTCAATTGTATAAAGTACTCTTTATTCTGTTCAGTACTCTTAATACTAAAATTTATGATTATTTTAAGTTTATCCGTTTCATTGATATCCAAAGTTATATTTAAGTACTGAAAGCTGAGATTTTACTCCAAGCTTACTTACTCCCAACTTGTACTTTACCAAAGTAAATAGCTTATGGTTTCCTTGCACATACCATATTGCTATATTGAAAATCATGCTTTCAAGACTTTGTTATTCACTGTCTTACTACCTTTTCTACTTCTTAATCTGGATAACTTCTTTTTTTAAAATTTATTTATTTATTTATTTTTGGCTGCATTGGGTCTTCGTTGCTGCGTGTGGGCTTTTCTCTAGTTGCGGCAAGCGGGGGCTACTCTTCGTTGTGGTGCACGGGCTTCTCGTTGCAGTGGCTTCTCTTGTTGTGGAGCATGGGCTCTAGGAACGTGGGCTTCAGTAGTTGTGGCTCGTGGGCTTTAGAGCGCTAGCTCAGTAGTTGTGGCGCACGGGCTTAGTTGCTCCACAGCATGTGGGATCTTCCCGGGCCAGCGCTCGAACCTGTGTCCCCTGCATTGGCAGGTGGATTCTTAACCACTGCGCCACCAGGGAAGTCCATGGATAACTTCTATTTATACTTCAAACCTCATATCAGGGGAAAAAAACCCTCATGTCAGGTATTATCTTCTCTAGAAAGCCTTTTCTAATTACCCCCCTTTTACTCCTTAACTAAGGCCAGTTAACTTTCTTTCTCTGCTATGATCCCATCATTTTTTTTATGCAAACTTTCATATCACTATACAGTTGTCCCTTGGTACCTGTAGGGGATTGATTCTAAGACCTCTAGCGGATACCAAAATCCGAGGATGCTTAAGTCCCTTATATAAAGTGGCCTACTACAGTGGGCCCTCCATATCCACAGGTTCCATATCTGTGATTTCAACCAACTGTGGGTCGCTAGGCTACGGAGGGCCTGATGTACTTAGTACATGTTAATGATACTATGATACTATGCATCTTCTCCTTTAGACTGTAATTCCTCAAGGAGAAAAACCATTACTCACTAATTCTTTGTACCAAATTGAACCCATATTAAACTATATAGGTTTATGCCTACTATAAGCACCACCACAGGTTGATTACATTATCTTCTAATAACATTTTGATTCTAGTTTAGGTATCCCAAGCACTATGAAATCTTATAAACACTGTGTGTTTGTGTGTGTGTGTGCACACACATGGGCAATCTCCCATTCTCGCTCTTATTCATGCTTACCATAAATATTCCTCTAAAGCTAACAATAAACCAATAAAACGAGCAATCTAGTCATACACAAAGACCAAGTTGATTCAACTATTTTCACCTTCTCAAATGATTATGTAGTCCCTTGAATTTCCTGTATTTAATGCTTTTAAAACTTGTTATTTTAACTTTGTAGTATTCTGCACACAACTTTTTTTATTATGGTAAAACATATAAAACACAAACTTTAGCATTTTAACCATATTAAGCACACAAGTCAGTGTCATTAGGTACACTTGCAATATTGTGCAACCATTACCATCATTCATTTCTCATCATCCCAAACAGAAACTCTGAATCCATTAAACAATAACTCTCCCATTCCCCACTTCCCCCAGCCCCTGGTAACCTGTCTACTTTCTGTCTCTATAAATTTGCCTATTCTAGGTACTTCATATAAATGGAATCATAAAATATTCTTCCTTTTGTGTCTGGCATATTTCACTTAACATGATGTTTTCAAGGTTCATACATCTCGTGGCATGTATCAGAATTTCATTCCTTTTTAAGGCCGAATGATATTCCACTGTATGTATACACCTTATCTGTAGACATCTTATTTTATCAGTCACTCATTGATGGACATCTGGTTTGTTTCCACATTTTGGCTACTATGAATAATGCTGCTATGAATATTTGTGTGCAAGTATCTGTTTGAGTCCCCATTCTCAATTCTTTTAGGTATATACCAAGAAGCAGAATGTCTGGATCATACGGTAATGCTATGTTTAACTTCTTGAGGAACCACCATGTGATTTTCCAAAGTGAATGCACCATTGTACACTCCCACCATAAATGGATTAGGATTCTAATTTCTCCATAGACTCACCAACAATTATTTTCCATTTACTTAATAATAACCATCCTAATGGGTGTGAAGTGGTAATTGTGGTTTTGATTTGCATTTCCCTAATGACTAGTGACATTGAGCAACTTCTTAAGTGCTTATTGAACCTCTGTATATCTTCTTTGGAGAAATGTCTGTTCAAGTCTTCTACCTAGTTTTGAAATGGGTTGTTACTTTTTTTTTCTTGTTTAGTACAAATATATTTTTAAAACCTGATTTTGGTGAAACATCTGAGCAGCTCACCAACAATGGTATAAGGATTAAAAATATGTTTATTCAATATTTCTCCATCGAACAATTTAAAGAAATGTAAAGTAACTATTCACAGAAAAATATGACATAATATACTGATACATTTTCTAAGAAAAAAATAGATGATCTTACCTAGAGTCTTGATTATTAATTATTAATTCAAGGTTTTGGGTTGATGATGAATCTATCATAGCTGTCTGTTCACTACCCTGGAAACAAATCTTCAGCGATTTTGGTGCGTAAACTGAATTTTGAATAAATTCAACATATTTTAATAAAGCTGCAACAGCTGCAAGGCAGTAATACCTGTAAAGTGACCGAAGATACATCACTATAAATCTTTGGAATAAAAAAAAGTATTGCTATAAAAGAAAACATTTATTTCACTTTAATATTAGCAAAATTATAAATATTTGCATAGCATTGCTTAAAATCAAAGGGAAAAAGCACACCAAGTGTTCCTGATTTTTGATAACTAGTTAAATTACCTCTAAAACATAAAAGTTGATAAAAAGAGACAATTTTCTAAAGTCTGAGACTTAAGGGATATTAGACTCCCAATAGGTCACATGTTAGAAGTCAACATTCAATGGTAATTTGTGTCAATTTTTGATGTACCATTCTAAGTACACATTCAAATAATGTTGAAAAAGTCTGAGAGTTGTAAAGGTACAGTCAGGAGGTCCCAATGTATAGGAAAGCATGTTTTGATCTCGGTGACAGTAGTCGTCATGATTAACTGAGCGAACAAGTTGTCCAACCTGGATCAAAGTAAGTATCTGTTCAGCATGTTATAAGAAATATCCATTCCAAAAATATCATTCCCTGTCTCATTCGGAAGGAGTAAAGGTATGAAGTAACAGGAACACAGCTTTAACTGTGTTTCACTTCTGTACCCTCAGATTTCTAGTTTGCAGTAGCTACTTGAGCTTTTCAATTCAAAGTAAAGTGAGCAGGAACCATTAAGGCAGTAGATTATGACTAATTTGGAGAAATTCCATAAAAGTTTAGTTAGCAAGATACGCCTTGTATATAAATTTTAGTTAACTATTTTACTATTTCAATAATTACTGAGTGTGTTTTATAAGCCAGGCACTTTTCTAAGTGGTAGGGAATATAGCAAAGAATAAAACACACAAGAGACCTTTCCGTCCTGGAATACACACCAGAGATTTACTACTTGCCCTAAATTTTAACTTACTTGGATTGAACCTCCATTAGGACAGTGCTGAATTCTGTTATGCATAATTGTTCAATGTACTCTAATCCTTTTGTTTCATTGAAGTATTTCCTTTGGATAGTAGTGAAATTAACGTTCTGAAAAGAATTTTTAATTTCAAAATAAATTTTAAGTTTCATGCACTTGCCCAAAGCTGCTTTCTTAAATACATGCTCATACATGGGTAGATGACTTAAATATTGAATAAAGTTTATTTTTCATTGTTTATTATTTTCTAGAGTTAAATAAGAAGTTTTCTTAGTTATTTACAAAAAGAATGATGGTCTGTCTTGCTAAGTGAATTATAGCAGTCTGTAGCTCTTATTAAGACATATTTACATGAAATTTAAGTAAATAAAAAATAAACATGAGAGTCTCTGACTCCTATTAATTTTATTCTACAGCAACAACAGCAACAAAGGTTTTACATTCAGCCTCATATACACTATCATAATTTAGAGAGGGTAAATCTTTGTAATACACTAGCTGGGGAAGCCAAAAATGCCAATTCCAGCTATCAAATCTATGAAATGCTATCTACATAAGGTGAATTTAATTTACAGAATAAAGAAAAGCAGATAATGGAACTTTTTTTAAGAGAAAAAAAATGCATGCAGCTGCAGAGTACAAGGTCTGCCTACTTTGAATAAAAGTAATAGGTAAGAAAGGTATTAATAATATAATAACAATGGACCATGAAAGAGCTGCAAGGCTGCAAAAAAAAGTCATAATCAGGTAGGGAATTTGTTATGTGCCAAGATTGTTTGAAGAGTTATCTCATTTAATCTTCCCAATAACCCTATGGTGTAAGTTTTGTATCAATATTAAGTACAATCTTCCTCTAAGTCAAATTCTGAGAAGTCAAGCAACTTTTCTAATATACAATTGATATGTTTCAGAGCTGAGACTTAATTTGGATTTCTTTGACTAAAAAGTCCATGTTCCTTACACTTCATATTGCTTCTTATTTAACTGAGGTCTTTTTTATGGTAAGTGTGATGATAATGATAACAATAACATTGATTTTCCCCTCTGTTTATAATGCTTTTATATCAAATATTTCTATGGCTCTCTCACTCCTATCAGGACTTTGCCCAAATGTAACCTCATCAGTGAGACCATTTCTGATTACCTTATATAAAATATCAATTCTCTAGGAGGTAGATACTATTATTGTCCCTATTTTACTGACGAATAAAAACTGAAGCTTAGGTTAACTTAATTTGCACACAGTCATTTAGAATCAGGATTTGAGACCACAACAGTATAGCTCCTCTATTCTTTTTCTTTTTTTAATTTATTTATTTATGTATTTATTTATTTTGGGCTGCGCTGGGTCTTCGTTGCCGCCCACGTGCTTCCCCTAGTTGTGGCGAGCGGGGGCTACTCTTCGTTGTGGTGCGCTGGCTTCTCATTGCGGTGGATTCTCTTACTGTGGAGCACGGGCAGTAGGCACGCGGGCTTCAGTAGTTGTGGCACGTGGGCTCAGCAGTTTCAACGTGCAGGCTCTAGAGCGCAGGTTCAGTAGTTGTGGCGCACGGGCTTAGCTGCTCCATGGCATGTGGGATGTTCCCGGACCAGGGCTCAAACCTGTGTCTCCTGCACTGGCAGGCGGATTCTTAACCACTGCGCCACCAGGGAAGTCCCTGGCTCCTTTACTCTTAAGCACTATGCTATATTGCCTTACATCTCAAGCGTAGTAAATGTAGGTTATTTTCGCCTTTGGAGGATTCATCTATCCCACATTCTATGTTGGTCTGTCCATGTAGGACTGTCAATTACAGTACTCTGTGCCCCACAGCAAAAAGCAAATGACCTGGGATTAATCAATCATAGTGCTTTTACCCCCAGAAACAGTGATTAATCTAACATGTGGGAACATGAACAAAGCAGGAACAGTCAGGGTCCTTCTCTTGAATTCATATGTGGACACTGGAAGGAAGAAGTTAGTTTTTACTCTCAGTTGACTAAGCTGAGTTGACATCAGCCTGGAGCCATGAGCAATCATTTTATTAAACCTCACAGAAAGATGGCAGTAGAGATGAGAGTAAGGATAGGATCTATCCAACCATTTGGCTTCCCAGTTACATAAGCCAACAAATTTACTTTTTCACTTAAGCTACTTTAAGTTGAATTGCTGTTATTCACAACCAAAGGACTTAGAATGCTTAATCAGTACAAAATAATGAAGGTATATGGAAAGGTATACATAAATAAGGGTGATGAAAAGAAGTCTAAAGTCATGAATGAAAGAGATAAAGAGTCCTGTCTAATAGAGACAGTAGGTTTACAATAGGAACCATTACTGGCAATGAGTCAAAGACAGCTGAGCTACATTGGATCTCTAAGAGCACAAGAAATCTTATATGACTGCAGATGCTGAATATATTAAGAACTATAAAGAACTCATTGGACCATAATCTCAACTTGGTGTCAAATGTGTTAAAGATTAAGTCTACAATGAAATATAATATTCTGAAAATAATTTGCACTCCTCAAGAACTATTCTAACTGCAATGTTGCCTACTTGGTTCAGAACCACAGCCTCCATTCCACAAAGCAGGGAGATGTGCTAAAGGGAAGAAATAAACCGGATGGTAGACAGGCCCTTACTGAGAGGGAGAGCGTTGGCTGGATAAGGTTCCAGAGCACTTCCCTGTCACAGTCCCACAGACGGTGAGACAGTATGTGTTGCCAGGGGAAGCTGTAACAATTCTATAATATAAATCAAATTCTCCAAAAGAAAAAGTACTTGCTGATAGTTGCTATCCCCTAGAAGAATACGAACTTCACTTTCAACCAGTCTGGCAGCACAATAACTACTTTCCAGGAAGCTATACCTAAGGAAATCCATGCTTTCTCTAAGTGTCTGCTTCCTGTATACTCTGGGAAACCTCCTTATTACCTAAAAGATTTTTCCTTTTTTGCAAAGTATATCAAGGGTACCAAATCAAATAAGTGAATTCCTTGTCATTTTTATTATATGTATTAATAGTCCCTAAGCTTAGGATTTGTACTTAGTGAGTACTTTAGGGTAAAGATACCCAAATTATTGTTCTTTAGGATGATATTATAAAATGGATTTTAAATAAGACAATCTTGAATGTTACTACTGAGAATAAAAATCACTTACCTTGAAATTTTCTGTGATGAGAGTAAACAACTTGGTTGAATTCCCCACAACACAAGCAGTATTTGACATTATTATTTCCAAAGGTGATAAAATTTTGAGTTTAGTGATCACCTAAAATTGTTTGAATAATTTCTTAAATGTAAGCTTAGGATTCTCTAAAACCAAAAAAGTTTCGTATTTTTCTGAGAGATAAAATTAAGTCAGAGACATACAAAATCACAACTGTTCTAATTATATGTTTCAATTAAATATACTTCTAATGGTAATATGTCAAACATACATCCTATAAAATTATCAATACAAAATATTATCATAAGCATAGGCTATATTTTACTCACAATAGTTTGTATCAGCTCTAAGCCCCCAAATAATTTGAACATATCAAATATGTACTCCTAAAAAAAAATTTTTTTTAATAAATTCATCTACTCGGTATTTTATTCATCTCCATGAAAAACATAAACATTCAATAGCGTAACTATGGTGATTCAATCAATATGGCCACACGGGTACAGCTTAGAAGTTGAAAAGTACAGAAACACAGATGAGAAACATCTGCTTTATGACTGATGCTTTTCACAGTCTAAGATGCATTTCTTAGAACTATTCTAGACACAGAAATACTTTATCAATATACTGAACATTCCCATTTTTTAAAAAAACTTTTATCCTATTCTTTTTAAATTGCATAGAAATGTGAAATACCCAGAAATGCAGTACTAATATCATTTAGGTTGTTAGGTATATTAAAAAAGTAATTATTAGGTAGGGAAAGGAAGTCTACATACTGGGAAACATAAAGGGGAGTTAGGGAAAGAAATAAAGAATAAAACATTAAAAATAACATAGCATTTAATATGTTTTAATAATAGTAATGGGGTCAAATAACTTTTTTGAATTAGGAGTAGACTACCTCTACCTGATAAGTCACACAAATTCCCATAACAACAGGCCAGTGGCCCAAGTTAATGATGAGTGATAGGAAGTGAAGGCAAGAAGTTGAGAGACTTAAATTATGACTGGTCTAAGACACCAGTTTCCCTTATCTCTGGAAAATAAAATTCAAATACAGTTCAGTGGAAACAACCCTCTGGAGATAGCATTATTACATATGTTATCTTTGGAATGAGTCCAAGATTTATTAATTTGAAGATATTAATTTTAGAAACTAATATTAATAGTAATTTGGAATATTTAAGTAACACCAAAACATGTTATTTTAGAACAAAATAATATTAAAAAATTAAAATCAGATGTAAAACTTTATTGTAATTCAGAGTAACCTACATTGGTGCAATAATGAATAACCATTATTCTACCAAAAAGTAAACCAATTAGGAAAGCACTGACTTGAAAATCTGCAAAGTGCCCTCTAGATGAACCATTTTCTAGGAGTATAAATACTTACCTTTGCATATGTTGTGTTGTCTGCAAACTGAGATAATATAATTTGTGGGCTTTTTAAATCAATACTTGCCATTCCTATTTCACCTCTGGCAAGTCCTCTCCCTTCTACAACAGCTACAATAACTGATGGAGAGTGTGCAGAAACTGCAGATGAGGATGTAGCTATTAAAAAAAATTTTTAAAGAAAATGTATAAACATTAACAATACTTTCTAGTTCTTTCTCATAAAATCTCAAAGCACCAAGTGTAGGACACAGCTATTACTATCCAAGAAAAAAAATCTCATTTTGCTCATCAAAATATATCTTTCCATATATCCGGACCAAATAAAAATGTTAATTCTCTATTTTGCCAAAACTTAACTTCACATTTAGAAATAATAAACTTATACATTGTCTTATTTTGCATTTTATTGGAATGGAATGAAGTCATAAAGAAACACTAAATTTGCAATCAGAAAACATATTATTTATCTTACCTTGTCATTTGAGAGCTATATGAATTTGAGCAAATTATTTCATAATAAATAATCATATATCACAAAATATAATGTTAATACCTGCCCTACCTAACTCAAGAGGTAGCTGAAACGCTCAAATGGGATAATAATATATATCAATGCATTTTATAAAGTATGAAACATTATATGACTATAAACTCCATTTATGAGATATCTGTGTAATGCTGGATATTTTATTAATGTGCCAAGAATGTTCCAAGTTCTTTACTTGAATTAACTTTACTTCTCATGATTCTATCAACAGACATCATTATTTTCTCCATTTGCTTTTCAGGAGACTGAAGCATGAATGGAACTGGCAGAACTTGTATACAGGCAGCCTGGTTCCAGACCTGGTGCTCTTAACCACTACATATATTAGTGATTTTGAGATCTATGCCTGACAAACCATAAATATTCAGGTAAGTAGTTTAACCTTTCTAAATTTACCATTTCTTTATCTGTAAAGTGGAAATACCAAACCTTTTTAACAAAGTTGTTATATAAGAATTAAACATAATATAGAAAGGTTTAATAAAGTATTTGAAATTATAAGGCATTATTCATGGATAACAAAAAGTCAGACTACTAAACATACCTAAAATTTTATTTTCAAAGAAGCAAAATTGTCTTTTATCCCCTTTGCAACCTTTCAATATACCTTTTCTCCCCTCCTCACCCTCCTTAATCTAGAATCCTTTTTTCTTTTCTATTCTGTTATAACACCTACAAAATTATTTTTACATTTATGCTATCTTAGTCAGTAGTCAACTTAAGAGTTCATTTAAAAATCTATTGTGTCTAGATCTCAGAACCTTTTTTGCCATTAAAGCCTTGTTATACATGGTGATTGAGTTTATATTAGATCTATAGAAGTCAATTTAAGTTCTGCAATTGAATATGACCTTCCCATTCTTAACTGGAAACTTAATATCAAGTTTCAGTACTTGGAAATTCAGTACACACAGAAGACATCTCCCTTAAACTTTAAAAGAACATTTACGCTGTTATCCCTCTGTTATAAGTAATACTAAAATAAGCATCAGAGTACATAAAGCTTTTTTCTGGGTCTCTTATCATTTCCCTAAATTGGCTCCTTATAAGTCAAATTACTGAAAAAAGGAAAACCATCACTTTTAAAGGATCTCACATATATTGCCACATTTCTTTTCAGGATTGTACCAACTTTTAATTCCATCATCAGTATATGAGAAAAACCAATCTTACTGAATCCTTACCATTACTAACTTCTGCAATGTATTATTGTTGTTATTATTATTATTAGCTAGTTTAATGGACTGGTGCTTTAAATGTATATTTTTTTAAATTACTATCAAAATTGAATTTCACTTAATATATCCATTTGTTTTCTATATTTTGAGATGTTTACATCCTTTTTGCACAATTTTTACTAGGTCTTAATGTTTTTCAACCTGTTTCTTTGAGAATCTTGTAAATCAATGACAACAACTTATAGTTGCTACCAATCTTGCCATTTTTGATGTCACAAAGATTTTTGTTTTTGTATAGAAAGTCTTTTCCTTTATAATTTCTTCCATTACTTTTCTGCTACGAAACTCCTCCTTCATTGAGACATTTGATATTCACTACTATTTTCTTCTAACTTTTTGAGTTGTTTAGTTCATTTTGATCTCTCATTTGGGCAGAACTTTGAGCAGTACATTTGGTTCTCCACCTTGTCTGGCTTGTCTGGAATGAAAGATAACCAGAAGTACAGACTTAGACTCATTCATGAGCAGTTGCTAATGGTTTAGCTGAATGGTCAGAGACTTGGAAGGAACAGAACTGGAAGATAGTGACAAGGAAAGTTGGGGAAGAGGTATGTGGATGGATCTCTTAGAACGGGCATAGACTTTGAAAATATTTGTCTCATGTGTATGCTCACCAAAGGGCATCCACTGTAAAGGAGACTCTTGATAACAGTGGACAAAATGATACACCCTATGATGTCAATTAGCCTCTTTTCCCAGCCACCAGTGTTTCCTTAATAGACCCATGAACAAATCGGCCATGGTGGCAAGAATGGAAACTATGCATCAGCTCAACAACGTGAACTTCCTCTTACGAAGGCTGACCTGGTTAACCCCTCTGCTGGCCAGCAGCAGAGATCAACATAAATGCCCCATACAGTACCATTCCCCAGAGGGACAACATACCACCTGATGGTAGGTTGATTACACTGGATTTCTTCCATCAAGGAGGGAGCAGATATTTGTCCCCACTGGAAAAAACACATATTTTAGATGCAGATTTGCCTTCCTTGCCCACAGTGCCTCTGCCAGCATCACGATCTATGAACTTACAGACTGCCTTATCCACCATCATGGCATTTCACACAGTATTGCATCTGATCAAGGAACTCACTTCACAGCAAAAGAAAAAAATGCATCAATGGACTCTGGCCCATTGAAACAACTGGTTTTACCACATACCCCATCACACAGAAATGCCTGGCTTAGCTGAAAGGCAGAATGACTTACTGAAGACTTAATGCCAATTGGAAGACAATATCCTAAAAGAATGGGGCTCTGTCTTACAGGATGCAGTTTATACTTTGAATCACAGATGCTGTATTTCTCATAACCAGAATACACAGGTCCAAGAATCAAGAGGAGGAAATAGGAGTGACTATTCTCACTTCACTATTATCCTGATCAACCCACCCAAAGAATATTTGCTTCCCATTCTGGCAACTTTGAGCTCTGCTGATTTGGAGATCTTAGTCTCCACAAGGTTATTGGTTCCACCAAGTGACACAGCAATGATTCCACTGAAATGGAAGATGAGATTGCCAACTGTCCATTTTAGGCTCCTTATTTATGCTACTGAACCAATAGGCAAAAAAAGGGGGGGGAGGGGTCATCTATGGATGGGGTGGTTGCTCCTAACTGCCAAGGGGATATCATGTCGCTATACACAATGGAGGCAAAGTGGACTATATATGGAGCTCAGGGGGTTAAGGCAGCGGTCCCCAACCTCTTTTGGCACTGGGGACTGGTTTCGTGGAAGACAATTTTTCCATGGATGGGGGAGGGGGTAGGTTCAGGCGGTAATGCAAGCGATGGGGAGTGATGGGGAGCGGCTGTAAATATAAATGAAGCTTCGCTTGCTCACCCGCCGCTCACCTCCTGCTGTGCGGCCCAGTTCCTAACAGGCCATGGACAGGTACTGGTCCACGACTCGGGAGATGGGAACCCCTGCTCTAAGGCACCCCTTAGTATTTCCAATAGTAAATGTTAATGGAAAACTACAGCAACCAATAAGAGGCAGAATGACCAAGGACTCAGACCCTTCAGGAATGAAGGTCTGGATCATTCCACCCGTATTGCTGCAGGTAAGGGAAATAGAATGGGTAGTGGAAGGAAGCCATAGATATCAACTATAACCTCGTGACCAATTACAGAAATACAAACTGCAGGGCTTCCCTGATGGTGCAGTGGTTGAGAGTCCGCCTGCCAATGCGGGGGACACGGGTTCGTGCCCCAGTCCAGGAAGATCCCACGTGCCGTGGAGCGGCTGGGCCCGTGAGCCATGGCCGCTGAGCCTGCGCGTCCAGGGCCTGTGCTCCGCAGCGGGAGAGGCCACAACGGTGAGGGGCCCGTGTACCCGCCGCCGCAAAAAAAAAAAAAAAAAAAACAAACTGCAGTAGCTTTGGATATTTTCTCTATGCTTTGTTATATGCATGTTTATTTGTATAAACTAACCATTTTTCCCTCTTTTCACTTTTAAAAATTTATGCACAAGTTATTGGAGGTTAACTTTACAACTTAGTCTTTAAGTAACACAATATTCAGTGGGACCACGACTGAATTTGAGATAATTAATATGCAATGACTGTTGGGACTATGAACCTTCTCATTTTAGGAAAGAGTGAGAACCCCCTCACTTGTAAGTACAGATGTATACATCCTGCTAGGTAGAAACACAGAGTTATTTTGTTGTTGTAAAGGAATCCAAATGTGTGTAGAATGACATATATGGACATTGAATAGCCAAAGGAGTTATGCCAGTTATCAATTTATTGTCACTCGGCTCCAAATTCACACTTCAATGTAAGCTCTGCAACAGTGGACAGAATTGCTGTATATTTCTCCTTTAAAGTGTGCATAATGTATTCTCCAATAAAGATGTTTAAAAGAAAAGTGTGCATAATGTTAAGTTTTCTCAATTGAGGGCACTGGAGGGACCTTGCATGATGAAGGGCTCTCTGGCAGTTTCCACTGGGTCAGCAGTGTAGGTATGAGGACATCTGGTGGTGATGTGCCCAGCTACATACCCAGAATGTGCTGTCCTCTGGCAATCACACAGCCGCAGCATGGCACGGTAACAATCATCTTACAGCCCTCTCAACAGAGATATCCTGCATTCCAGGCCTCCCGCCCATACTAATTCCTTCGGCTCTTTCACTCTCTATTCAGTCTGTCTCCCATAGTCCTCTTGATGCCACCACCCCTCCTAACAGGGAGACTGTGCGCTCCAGGCCTCCAACCCACACCAGAGCCCACTCCCATTGCACAGCCATGTTCTAGCCACCAGCTATAGTTCACCCACCCTGCCCGCTTCCTGTTTGCCTGGCCTGGCAAATCTGCGGTCACTACTGAAATTGCCATTCAGTATTCACCTTCTCCAAAGAGGTCAGTACCCCAGCGTTGGAAATGGGACCCAGAAGGGGGCCACTTCCAAGTAGGACCTCTTAGGAGTCCCCTTAGCCCTAGGGTGCCTCATAGAGTTTCCTTATATCCTATAGTTACTCTTTTATGAGTTTAATAGTTCTTCATATTAAATCTTCCCTGTTTAAATTATTGTATGGTTCTACTTCAGATTGTATCTTCACTGCTACAGTCTCTGTCTTCATGGAGTTTATAGTCCAGCAAAAAAGATGGACAACTTAAAAAAGATAATCAACCTCATTTATAACCAGGAAAATGCAAATTCAGACTATAGTTAGGTAGTATTTTACAACTGCTAGACTGGTAAATATTAAGGAGTCTGACAGTACCAAATGCTGGATAGGATACAGATCAACAAGAACGCTCATATATTGCTAGTAAGAGTGTATGTTGGTAGAACCACTCAGAAAAACAATTTGTCATTATTTTGCAAATGTATACATTCATATATCTTTGAACCAAGAGATGTTTATACATGTAGACCTATTTCACCCATTTTCCCCTCAAGAAAATCTACATTTAGATAAATTCTAAAATTTAAGTATTAAAAAATCATTCAATAGTATTATCAGGATCAACTTTTAGATTTAAGCAAACGTATAGAAGGAAGGGCTTTCTTTCTTGTGCTTTTTTTGTCAGAATGATAAAATAATGTAGACCTGCATTTTTTAACAAACAATATCACAAACTATGTAGACTTATTAATCCAGCTTCAAATTGTAGATATGGCTAAATTGATGTATTTATCATTCAGTCTTCCATATTAGTTACAAGTAACTTCATATTAACTTAACTACTCTAATATATAATTTTTAAAAGTTTCAAAAGATCAATTAGGCCAATATTCCACTCACTTTACCTGAATATTCCATTTGCAGTGTCCAACTTTTATAACCTGGTCTCTGGGGATTTCCAGCAGATAATGGAGTTTTTAGTATTTGAGGATAATTACTATCTCGCGCAGAGGATGAGCTTGTACCGAGAGTAAAATGTGATGCAAGTGTGTTTTCTGCATAAGATCTTTTGTTTGTAAAGTATGAATCTAAATTCAAAAAAAATTAAATATCAGTTCTTAAAGATTCCAAATTATGCAATGTTGTACTAATTCTTATAATCTCTATAAAACTTCATCTGATAATGATTTTTTAGTGTAACAAATTATGACAAGTTTAACATTACTGATAAATAATCTTGTACTAAAGTATAATGAAAAGTGCTTGCTAATATGTCTTTTTCTTATACAAGTTGACTGAGACTATTCTTGGTAAAATCACAAACTACCTTCTAATCTTCAAATATACCAGATATATTTTCTTTGTATAGTAATTATAACACATCTTTTCCTCTGTTGACCTCTTCATTGAAACTGTCTCCTCCCAGGTAACTGGTGTAGAGTTTTAGGCTCACTTTGATTCAGTTCCTTGTTTAGTTACTTACCTGCTGATGTAAGACATTACCTATTTTATAGGGTTGTCATAAAATATGAAGGAATGTACATAAACAGCCTAGCATAGTGTCTTGGCACATAAGAGGTTTTTTTGTTTGTTTTTTACTTGAAGTATAGTTGATTTACAATGTTGTGGGCACACACAGAAGTTCTTAAAAGTATATATTGGGTCTCTTTTCTCCTCTTCCCCTTGATTTCCATGACAACTCTCTATCTTGATTCTCCTTAAACCACTTCTTTTTAGTTTCCTTTGCCAGGTCCTTTTTCCCTCTGTCTGACTCTTGACTGTTGGCTTCCCAAGGTTCCATACTTTTTCACTTTCTCTCAAAATCAAAATTATACATTTTCTCTGGGCATCTCATCTATTATTTTGGTTTCTATTAATATCTATTTCCTGACAATTCTCAAACCTTCATATACAGCCCTAACTCCTCTCCAACACTATAAACCATGGGGTGGCAAACTCCCTCTGTAAAATTGGGACAAAAGAAAAATCTACCTTGCAGAATTATTGTGAGGATCAGAGATACAAAATGCCAAGTAAGAAGCTAGAACAGAGTAGTGCTCGTTAATTAGTGGATGTTATTACTGTTGAAAAAGCATTTCACGAAGGGGGGATTATACTGACAACGTAAACATGTATGTTGCCTTGGAGGAACTGCAAGTAGGTCAGTTAGGTTAGAAAGTAGGGTAATTATTAAGAAATGATAAGAGATAAGACTGCAAAAATTGAAAACAGATCCCAAATGGCCTTGGATGTCCTGATAAAGAATATGATTTAAAAAAAAAAGTATGATTTTTTTAACTGCAAATACAGAGTCACGGACTGAAGTGCCAAGTGACATAAGATTTTCATTTTCCGGGACCTCCCTGGTGGTGCAGTGGTTAAGGATCCACCTGCCAAGGCAGGGGACACAGGTTCAAGCCCTGGTCCGGGAAGATCCCACATGCCGCGGAACAACTAAGCCGGTGCACCACAACTACTGAGCCTGTGCTCTAGAGCCCATGAGCCGCAACTACTGAGCCCGCGTACTGCAACTACTGAAGCTTGTGTGCCTAGAGCCCGTGCTCCACAAGAGAAGCCACTGCAATGAGAAGCCTGCACACCTCAACGAAGAGTAGCCCCTGCTCGCCACAACTAGAGAAAATCCGGCATGCAGCAACGAAGACCCAATGCAGCCAAAAATAAATTAATTAATTTTAAAAAAGAGAGAATTAAAAAAAGAGTTTCATTTTCCATATAACTCTAGCGACACTGTAAGTAAGCTTGAAAGAAAGAATACTTAGGAGTATGAGGCAATAACTCAGACATAAAATCATAAGGGCCTGTAATGGCACAGAGATAGAAAAGTACATAATTATTTAAAAGATAAAGTCAGATAGAATTTAACTATTTGGATGTTATGAGTGAGGGAATACTCAAATTATTGGTCTCCTAGGTTTAAGATTTAGAAAACCCAATGACTGAGATAAGTAAGAGAAACAGGTTGAGGAGCTGCAGAGAGATGAATTAAATTAATCATATAGTGAGTCTGAGGATTTCCACTGGTTCCTCACCAGAAACTTCAGAACAGACTGAAATAGGAATCTGGAGCATAGATGAGATCTGGGCTGTGGTGATAGTCACACCCAGACAGAAGTGGCCTAGGAAAAAACCTCCAAGAACAAACCAATAATTTGGGAACTAACAAAGGTAAGCATAGTTCTCTGGAAGGCAGGAGAAAAACAGGGGAGAGTGGAATCAACGAAAGCAAATTAAGACGGTTTGAGAAGACCGGTCAAGAACATTAAACACAGTGGAAAGGTCACACAAGATGAACCGAAAAGTGACCACTGAATTTGGCATTTGTTACCTTATCATTGATTTGCAATGTTGTCTGGAAAAAAAGGTGATGGTTTTGCCATGGAGAGTGACTGAATATAAAATAAACGAGTTGAACTCTCCTTGAAAGACATTTTTCAGACTAAACATATCATTCACCTCAATTAGATAAAATGTTAAATCTGGTCTGTTTTCACGGCATCCTAGAAGGACTTGGTGAGTTAAGCTCAGGAGCCGAGAGGTTCAACCACTTCTATCACCAAACTCACGCACAAATTCAGGCATCTGTCATCAGGGGCAGAGAGCTGGGACATCACACCGGACGTTAATGCAACCCGCCTCAGAACCGAGCCACCCGCCATCACAGCCTTGTAATGAAACTAATTTGAAGTAGAGTCCAGCCCTTTAGTCACTCAGAAACACTAAATTCCCGGAGCATCCCATTCTCATCTTCCAAACAAACCCCAACTGATACTTCTCTGTGGTAACCACCAACCACAGCTCCCTGAGCCTCCGGGAATTCACACAACCGCTCCTTGCCTTGAGCTGGCCGCGCGCTGGGCGGGTGCCGAGGGAGGCTGCTGCTGCCGCTCCGGTCGCCCGCCGCTCCAGACGTGCCTGGAGGGGAGGACGAAGAGGCGGCCTGGGCTGAAGGACATCTCTGAGGAGTCTCCTGGAGTCCGAAATTGTAGCGGGGACCCTGGGACCGAGCCTCTACCGAGGAAGGGGAAACTGCAGGGACAGAAGGCGAAGCTGGTGGGACCTCAGGCCTCAGCATGCTCATAAGCCCTCTCAGAACACCCCTCCGCAGGGCCCAAAGGCAGAAGCGACGCCTGGAAAAGTGCGAGTATGGTGCGCAGGCGCACGAAGCCGCATGGCGCAGGCGCAGAGCCCGTGCTGCAACCGCCCACCTTCCCCGCCCCTCCCCCCCCATCCACACAGAGGAACGTACTTCCACGCGTTCCGGTCCCGTCACCTCCCACAGGATTTGGTCGAGCTAAATGTAAGGTACAGACCTCCTCAGCTGAAAGGAATTCTGGGCCCATCAATCCAACTTGGCAGACCCATTATTCGCACTGCACCTTATTTCCTTATCACAAGGTATTTGGGGCTAACATATCGCACATACCTCCAAATACACTAGTTTCTTTTTAATTACATAAACTGTCATCACTGTGCACGCAGTGCCTGTGATAGTGGAAACAAATTTAATGCTCACACAGTAGTACAAACCATTTAACATTGGTTTCCTGGCTAAAGAGCCACTAACCCCTTACAGCTTAAATATTCACAGGGCTGTTATCACTGCAAGATTGCCCTTCACCCAGTAAGCATATGGCTGTGTGCACAGTATAGGAGGAACCAGGTTAAGAAGAGTTATCTCTTGGACAGTTTCCTCTCTCTCAATTTCTAGTACTGGGTTTTCACACATAGGTATGAACTGGTTAAGAGCAGACTACAAAAACTCAAACTAGCTTTACAACAAATGACCTTTGGGAAATTTTGTGCCTGCTTACTTTTCTTGAATACACAGTAATACCAACTTCGTAGAGGTGCCAGGATTGAAAACAGAATACTCTGGATACTATTAGAAGAAATGCATCACTCAATTCGTGCAATTGTTAATACGTCAATACATCAGGTATTCATAGAACAGTTCATCCACATGCAATGACTGCGGTCCTCAAAACTCCAACTTCCAATGACAGCACTTAAATAAAATTATGTTCCATCCAATGACTTCCAAACCTTCAGAAACAAAATACTGGCAAATGCAACTCAAACCCTTCAAATTAGTGAACTGGTAAAAAACAATGCTAGGGCTTCCCTGGTGGCACAGTGGCTGAGAGTCCACCTGCCGATGCAGGGGACACGGGTTCATGCCCCGGTCCACCCGGTCCGGGAAGATCCCACATGCCACGGAGCAGCTAGGCCCGTGAGCCATGGCCGCTGAGTCTACGTGTCTGGAGCCTGTGCTCCGCAACGGGAGAGGCCACAACAGTGAGAGGCCCGCGTACCGCCAAAAAAAAACAAAAAAAACAAAAAAAAAACAATGCTAGACATTTCAATCTCACATTGGCCAAGTGTTGAGAATCATCACTACACACATGTAAGAAGATTCTCTAACTCTTACACAGGGTATTGCAAAGACACTTGAGCAAATTTCAACTTCCATCAAGAAAAATGTTCATTAAAATACTTCATTTTCACCAAGAACATAAAACTCTTATAAGAGATTAGCTGTGGTCTCATCTTTCTGAAAACACAGTTAACAAAAAAATACTGTGGCAACTATCAACTTGTGTTTCCTTACTCCGCAGGGAAAAAAGCCAACAATCTCCCTTGGCATTCTGACATAAAATATTAGAAAGTGAGAATATAGTCCAGATTGCAATCCTATTCCAAGATGGTGAATTGTCACTTACTTAAATCACTTTGTAACCAGCTCAGTAACCACAAACATATGAAATATTCCCAAATTTCAGCCATTTATTTTTTTCATCTTTTAATTTCTATGGGGTTCATCAATTCTTTATCAGTTAACATTCTCATTGACAAAGACCAATTTATATTAACTATAGTTATATATAACATATCAAGGGAGTACATGGGAAAATCAGAACACAAGACTTCATCAGCTAAATAGAGTTCAACTCAGTTTGCTGTTATGGAGACGAACAAGATAAATACATTGAAGCATAAACAAAATATTACGCTCAGAATAACAGCATTCCAGAAGAAAACGGAAAGCTGAAAGTACAATAAAGGTCTCTAATTTACAGTATGTATAATTATATAATTTATTAAAATCAACACAATTCACGTACAAAATATTAACATGGCAGCCATTAAGTTTGTTAAGCACTTCAAATACTGAAATGTTAAGACAGTAAAACTACACTAAGCAACTTTTGCATCAAGGGATCTAACCTAGCTCACTAGTTCAGGCTGAACATTCACTCTCCGAAGTATTTCTTCAGGCATGCAAAAAACAGGGCTAACAGGTTTAATCTGTTCTTCTCCCAAAAGTGACAATCCAGCAATTCCAAATAGAGTATGAAAAGGATCTACCTATTAAAAAAATAAGAATTTATAGAGTATTACAAAATGAAAACTTCTAAAACCCTGCTTCTGAACAATGATTATACTGGAGCCTATTGTATTCCCTTTATTTGAACATATGCTTAAAGTTTTCTGAAATAATGGTTTCAAATTGTGTTTTTAAACACAGAACCTGGTCCACACACTCATTTCTTGGCAATAAGTGACCAGAAATTTCTGTAAACTTGTTTTAGATCTTTCATATATTCTTAAATGACAACTATTTAAAAAGCATCCCTTCAAAGCAACACTTGGAAATACCATCCTTTCCCCCCACCCCCCATTCCTAATTCTGGAAACTTAGAACCCTTAAAACACAAAGCAACACTGAAAATTTTAACTGTTACATAAACAGTCACAAATATACTTGCCATATCTCCTGGCCTGTCCGCAAATCCTCCCGTTTCTTCATCTTGACATGCTAAAATGAAACTGCGCAGTTTCTCTCTGTCAATCCAATGAAGCCTTCCAATTATCTTTAGGGAAGCCAACACCCACCAAGAATAGCACACATCTGGTAACTAGGAGGAAAAAGCCACAAGTTGCCTCAATTTTACTTTCTGGCCCAAATATTGGGGGTGGGAAGGGAATCAAAGGATATATTGACAATGCAGTGTTTGAAACACTAAAGTCCATAAATACAATTGCTTAGAATTAAAGATAATCACTGTTAAAGAGAAGACCAAACACTCCATTCCATAGAAAACCACGCTGAATGTTTCAGTTTCAGTACTCAGTGATAACCATCCATCTACCTTATCTTCTATTTGCAATGAATACCTAAATAAGCCCCTTAATCCAAGAATCTGGTGGTAAGGCTCATGAGATCTATGGTACTATATGTTCCACTGCCTTAGGTAGAGCATTTTCAATAAGTGCTGTCCAAGCAGTACACAACCTGCTTAAAAAAAAAAAAAAAAAAAAATCACCCTGGCTCCTCAAATCATGGTAACTCAAGAAATGCAGAAGTTCCCACCTCAGACCGAATTTCAACAAGATCCTTAGGTGATTCACAGGCACATTAAAAGCTGTCCTAGGGCTTCCCTGGCGGCCCAGTGGTTGAGTCCACCTGCTGATGCAGGGGACTGGGGTTCGCGCCCCGGTCCAGCAAGATCCCACATGCCACGGAGCGGCTGGGCCCGTGAGCCATGGCCACTGAGCCTGCGCGTCCGGAGCCTGTGCTCCGCAATGGGAGAGGCCACAGCAGTGAGAGGCCCCCGAACCCCCAAAAAAAAAAAAAAAAAAAAGCTGTCCTAGATTTTAAGTGCGATCCTCACCCCCAACCATCTTCTACTTATTGAAAAGCTGCCCAGGTTTTTCATTGGATATTAACTAGAAACCACTTGTGGTTATTTTCCTACCCATTAACTTATTCAGAAATACTGAGCAAGCAAAATTAAACAAAAATACAATGACCCAGATAAAAGCATCACCATGCTCTATCATATTTTAGGTCAGGGGCTCAGCAGGCTACAGCCACTGAGTCAAATCTAGACCACAGGAATAGCTTTTAGTATGTGTAAATGATTTTTAAAAATAATAGTTTTGCGATGGGAAAATTATGAAATTCGTATGTGTAACAAGACCATAGGTCAAAACTAAAAATATTTACTACCTGGTCGTTACAGACCCAATTCAGAGTGTGTGAGAGCTAAACAAATTGGGTTTTTCTTTAAAAATTAACAAAGATTTTAAATAAAAATGTTGTAATCCAATTTTTAAAAAAAATCTTTCATTTGGCAAATCCACTGTCCTTCCCCACCCCCCATAAGTGGGCATGGAGATTTCTGTACAAGATGCATGTGTTAATAGAAGCCTTTGACTCCCAGATATACATAATGCAAAGTAGTTAAGGTGAAAAGCTCATTATCCATTTACAAGAGCAATACTGAGATATATAAGACAAAAATTTAAGTGCTCAATCCAGATTATAAAACTTAAAAAGTTAATCTTGGGTTTCCCTGGTGGCGCAGTGGTTGAGAGTCCGCCTGGCGATGCAGGGAACACGGGTTCGCGCCCCAGTCCAGGAAGATCCCACATGCCGCGGAGCGGCTGGGCCTGTGAGCCATGGCCACTGAGCCTGCGCGTCCGGAGCCTGTGCTCCGCAATGGGAGAGACCACAACAGTGAGAGGCCCGTGTACCGCCAAAAAAAAAAAAAAAAAAAGTTAATCTTATGAAACGATAGATACCTTCTCTGGCCTTCCATTGAGTCCACCTGATGGAAGCTGTCGTTCACAAAGCCACCAACCAAGTAAATCAGAATTTACTCGATGCAACTGACTAGTAATAGCCAGGAATCCTGTGCAACAATAGATCTAAAATTACAGACATAAAGTACATGTGTATAATAGTTTTTCAACAGTAACATGGTGATAAAAACTACTTAAATTATTAAAGCTCCATTTTCTATCTAAAAATTTGCTGACAGTAAGAATTGCAAACAAGAACACAATTATTTGAACAAATCCAACACTACTAGGATGCAACTTTGCAATGCAAGACTACTGTCACAATTTCTTCATGGCTAAAAGCAAGCTTTATTTGACAACCATTTACATATACAACATCCTCTGGCACAAGCAAACAGGTCTTGGGGATAGGTAGGGAATGTTTTCACCTGGTTAAAAACTAATTGAAAATCAAAATATATTTTTGGTAATTACAAAACTACTTACGTTTACCTGGGTCAGAGGATTTCACCAACAGGGGACTGCATACAAAGTACACTACTGTAAAAAACGCCTTCCTTAATCAGCAATTAATTCTTATATAACATCCCACATTATATTACATTCAGTCAAATTAACTTGTTATTTTCCCAATTACACGGGTTATCCCTTCAAAACTGACACTACATTTTAATCTAGATTGATAAATTACCTGCCCAGCATGGGATTCAGAACCTGGCCTGCAACCAAATCCACCATCAAAGTTCATACATGATAAAACAAATTCGATTGCCTTTTCCACATTAATAGCATCCAGCTTCCCCTGTAAACAAAATATACCTATTAAATTCCAGAATCATCATGGAAGCTTAATCATTCCAATACAACATTTAAAACTTACCAATAGAGCCAAAGTTGCCACCGCACAAAAAGAGAATCTTGTGTCGATTTCTCCTAAAAATAAAGGGATCAAGCCAAAACATTTTGTTATCAGAGGCTTCTGATCATATTATGTAGTAAAAGTTAATTAAAAACAACATCTGTACAACTACCATGGTTAAATTTCCAAGAGTTCAGGCTTAACATGTAAATACATGTTAGTCACCAGGAGGAAAGCTAAATCTTTAAAAAGTGATCCATAATCACTTACTTTATTTCAAAGGAAACTAAGAACTAGAAAACTGCTTTGTGAAAAATATAAGCAAATAAATTGCTTTCAAAGCCCCAGAAAGGTGACAGAAAGAAAGACTAGTCAATTTCTCAGAATGATAATAAACTTACCCTATTACATAAAAGTAGATTTTCACATCCCATGAAGCAGCTGGTCTCTCCTGCCTGCACTGTATTCAGCCCTAAAGCAGAGATTATCTACATTTATCAAGTCAAATACTATTCCCTCCCTCCACTCAAATATTCAGTAAGTTTGTAAAGTTTTTTTTGAATATTTTCCCCTTGCCAGAAAGTTTTAAAAAAACTTTACAAAGCCACCAAATATTGGGGAAAAAAGTTTCACCTACCTTATCTTTTAGACTGGCCCCCTCTGTTCCAGTACTCCTGTATGCTGATATAACTAGCACAGTGCATGCTGGAACTTCCAGCAGACCATTAACTCCAGTTAGACCAGCTGCTTAGTGGGACCTGAAAAGATGAAAAACTTAAAAATCTCCTGGTAAGTTACTAGCAAAGCCCCCAATTCGCTGAACTTTAAAATTTGCAACAAAGCTTATCACTACAATAAACACCAAAGCAGAACATTTTTGGATTGGTATTTTGGGTGCCATGGATTAAAGGGACATTACCCCAAATATCTCCAGCGAAAGAACCATCTTCTTTCTGTAGACTCTGAACATATTCCACAACTTTATTTACATCAATAACATTAATACTATCATAGAGAGTAAGAATCTGTAACAAAAACAAACCATGGTAAGTAAATACCTCTTCAACACTGGTAAGGTTGTCCTAACAATGTTCTTCCTCAACTACCTTTTAAGTTGTCAAGCAAGCATGTCCTTTTGTTTATGTACATTGTGAACTTTTCTCAAATGTTTACTTCTACTATGTATTCAAATTATAGATATTACCAACAAACACAAACCTTTAACCCCAAAGCATTATTTTTCCATTTATAAATTGTTAACTTAGCACTCTAAGACTCATATATACTAAACTTACATAGATTTTAAACCCTTATTTGTGGATTTTCACTAATATCAAAATCACAGCTAACTCCAAGGAGGGAATTCCCTGACGGTCCAGTGGTTAGGACTTGGCGCTTTCACTGCCACGGGCCTGGGTTCAATCCCTGGTCAGGGAACTAAGATACCGCAAGCACAGTTCGTCCAAAAATGTAAAAATAAATAAAAATTTTAAAACTCCACGGAAAACAACAGAGTTGTGAAATGACAGAGTATAAACAGGGAACCACAAGCAGCTTGGTATTTCCAGATATTAGATGAAAAGCAAAATGAGACAAAAGGGAGGAAATGGCCAGGCCACGGAGAGAAGCAAATGCCATGCAGAAGTTTGACCAATACAAGAAACAGATGAAGGAGGCTTCTACACATGTGGTAAACAGGCTTTGAGCAGTTTATGTAATCCATTGTGCTATTTGCTGTTCTCTGAATAATGTTCCACATGACATTTCTATTATCAGACAAGACTTATGTAACGTAATCTATTGGGATAGCATAGGTCATGCTGTCTAATAAATAAAAGATTTCAGTGGCTTAACTTCAAAGGATTTTTCTTGCTCAAAACAAACAAACCTAACTCCACTGAGTGATTTTCAAATATTTACATATTCTGAAGATAAACATAATTACCATCCAAGGTCTCAGTGTAATTTTAGAATTTACATCAACTTTGGATTCAGCTAATACATGCCATCACATCATTGACCTTGTACAACATACACTTCATTTGAAAAGGTGAGTAACTTTTTAACATAGATACTGATTTTGTCACGTTCCTGATACCTAGTTTCAATTTCCCCACTCTCACGGAAGAGAATACATCACCAAGACTGCTGAATTTTTATTAGTATTTACCTGGACAGCACTAAGAGTGTACAAAAGATGAGGATCATGTCCAATACTAGCACTTATTCCACCACACTCGTGTTGACAAGACTTAATAAATGTCAGAATCTCTTCTCTATTCATGCGATGTAGCTGTCCCATGAGATCCATTACAGTCAGACCCCAATAGATGCCACTCATTCTCAAATATTCAGACATACAGTATTCCTAAAATACAGAATTACTTTAATGCGTCAGTTTGAATTGATGCCAGGTTAAAGATACTGAACACATGAAGCTAAAGTCATGGTGTTACATGGCCCTAACTCCATAGCTACAAGGTTATGGGAATTCATCAATACTAGATTATTTCCCAACATGGTAAATTTCAGCTCTTTGTATCCTACAGGGGAAAATATTTACATCCAATTAAGTTGTTCATTTAATTTTTTCTAAGATTTTCCCACAGAGGAAAACTGGGAACACCATTCTTCAAGGTTAAACTTTTTCAAGGTCTCAGCGTAATTCTAGAGCTTAAGTGTTATCCCACATCACGTAAACTCAGGTAATACATGCCAACACATCATTGACCTTGAAAGCATTACCTCAACTACAAAAGTAAATCTATTCCATGCCTCAAAATTCTTACAAATCTGGGCAGGAAGGGAAATCTACTTTGTCTGCCAAAGCCTCTAAATAAGTGTTGGTACAGACCATGGTTAATTCCATTGCCCCTCAACCACAGATACCAGTCCTTGGCACACAGGAGTTGGATACCATTTTTAAGAAACATGGGCCATACTAACCTGCTTATGCAGAATGGCCAACACCTTTAAAAATAAACTTTTCAACATAAAAGTATACATACGTAATCATCTTTCTTTGAGCCATAGGATGCTATATAATCTGCATGCTTCTCCACTAATAGGGTGTCGGGTGCATCTGACTTGATAATAACATCCTTCTGCGGTGTGCCCTTTCACACAAAAAGTGATTTCATAAATTTTTATCTTTTAACGTTTGACCCCGGGGCATATAATCAATACACATTTGAATTCTGATTTCATCTTGCCATATAAAAACTTTCAATTTTAAAAGTATCTGACTAAAAAAGAACTAAAGCCCTCATAAAGATGCAGGTATTTTTCAGGTCTCAGGGTAATTCTAGAGCTAAAGCAGTAATAATCAACTTTAGATTCAGAATACATGCCAGCTCATCATCGACCCAAAAAATTACCTCCGTCTTCATCACTCTTTGCTTATCTTTCACTTAAACAGTTAAGTAAAATAAACATACACTATCAAACTTTACGAATTTAAGACAACATATGGCTTACATGTGGCAAAAAGTTGAAGCATTAAAATAAAAATCTTGCTAGCCCATAATTTTCAGTTAAGTTCTTTAATGAGATTTTATTAATCCTAGAAACTCAGGTTTCAAAGCACCTTCCATGTTCCCCAAAAGTTATTTATCAAGCAAGCAGTCCCTTTAGCCTAATCTTCTCCAGCTCTAGTCTTAGTTTCTACAAGCCCCCAGGTGATGAGGATGCTGCTCTAGTTCTTATTTTAAGTAGGTCACGATCATTACCAATAAGAACAAAGCAGTTAATTTCCTTCACATCCCTTTAATATTTACTAGATCAAGACCACACTATTAATAATTATAAAGATTCTGAACCATATATTCATGGCCAAATGGAAGGAAATATATATGTACATATATATATAGAAGGAAAAGAGAGCTAGCCGGCTTTTTTGAGAGATTAAGTAACCGGGTCGTTGAACCCTGAGGCCCGCCGGATAGGAGGAAGTCTGGCCGCATGTGCAGCCGCGAGATCTGCAGAAAACGCTAAGTAATACTTCACCCTGTCTCTGACTCCTCAAAAAATCTTCCAAGGCCTGTGTCTTAACTCAACCATTCTCCAATACCTAGAAAACAACCCACCGGTGCCTGATCTGCTTAAACATTAGCCTACCCAGTCTCCTCCCGACTCATCTACACAGCAACCCAAAACACTACCACACTCACCATGTCTGAGACCGAAAAGAGAAGTAGGCTTGTCGCTGGGCGGATTTAGGCGGCAAGCGCCTGCGCAGAGGCGTCCTTCAGGTCCCCCCACCCCCACCCCGCGCCCGACATAGCTGACCACACTCCCGCCTGAAGGAAGGAGCAGTTCCATGGCTGCCCTAGGACCCCACCGACTGCTCATAGCTGTCCTCGCTGCCTGCGCCTAAAGTCTCTGGCGCCAATTTTCTCGTCTCGTAAGGTCCGCGGTTTTGTCTACAAGGGTTTTAAGTAATGTGTAAATACCTGAATAACTTTTTTTTTTTTAATGTATTTATTTATTTATTTATGGCCGTGTTGGGTCTTCGTTTCTGTGAAAGGGCTTTCTCTAGTTGTGGCAAGCGGGGGCCACTCTTCATCGCGGTGCGTGGGCCTCTCACTATCGCGGCCTCTGTTGTTGCGGAGCACAGGCTCCAGACGCGCAGGCTCAGTAATTGTCGCTCACGGGCCCAGTTGCTCCGCGGCATGTGGGATCTTCCTAGACCAGGACTTGAACTCGTCCCTTGCATTGGCAGGCAGATTCTCAACCCCTGCGCCACCAGGGAAGCCCCTGAATAACTTTTAAGAAATCGTTTATTCTTGGGACTCTTTGAACTTCGAAGATCTGAAATGGCTGGTAATTAATAGAGTTGCACGTAGTTAAGTGTTCAATAAATGTTTTTGAGTGAATGTTAATGAAGTGTTCACATTCCCCTCCTGTTTGCCTTGGCCATTACGACCGACTCCCTCACCTACTCCCCCCACTTCTTTAGGAAGTACTAATATCTGAAATATTTGGAACTGAATTTTCAACAAAGAAACACCAATGTGCCTTTTATGAGCTTTCCACAGAAATCGGATTTACTAGGTGTGTTAACACAGCTGTTTTCAATTGTGCTTTCTTTAGGACTGTCATACTTAAGCATTTTTGAGCACCCATTAGAAAATAATGGCACCACACATCCTTGCATTCCGTAACGATTTGGAGAAGGGTTCCTGACACAGTGACTTATGTGGGTTATCAGTAATTGAGAGAATGTTGGATCTACTGTGATGATAGATTTCATTATTTCGCCCAGTAGTTCTGTTGATATTCGCATTTCTAGCTTGAGGCCACTTTATTAAATGCATATAAGTTTAGAATTATCTATTTCTGCTGAGTTGAGCCTTTTATCATTACGTGATGATTGTCTCTAGCCCTAATAATTTTTATTTTAAAAAGTCTGCCTTGTTAAATAGTGTCGATGAAAAATTAATCCGTTGCTCCCAGAAAGAAATGGAAATTTTTATCCGAGCCAAATTTGAGGATTATAACCTGGGAAGAGCATCTCAGAAAGCTCTGAGGACTGTTCCACGGGTTACAAGTGAAGGTACAGTTATATGTTTTTTGAGACAAAGGACTGTACATCAAATGACATATTATTGACAGTTTACATAATCCAGATATAAGTGTCATCGTGGTAGGTCGTGTGACCCCTTACAAGATCAGGAAAGAATGTTATCTTTTAAGGAGCTGTCTTGTTGATGCTGGGAGAATGTTGCTCTTTGTGGTTGAGCAGGTATTCCTGCTGATGGGGGAGGTTTGGTTGATGCATAATGCAGATACACAATGCACAGTGGGGGCACAGCGGAGGCCAAAGGACAGAGAAGAATATCTTTATGTTTAAAATTTTCTTGTCTTGCCTTAAAATATGAATTTTATTTCACAATAGTAATGTAATTTCCCAGCTTTCTTTTGCCTCTAAATCAGATGGGAGAGGAGTGTTGTAGAGTGAGAAAAACCAAGGCAGAGAGAGAAAGGTCATGTCTCCTGGGAAAAGTAATACTCAAAATAAGAATAAGACAAGCATCCTATCCAAAATATAACATTCAGGTCGAGGCAATAACTGCTGAAGTAATGAAAAGTAAGCCTCTCTTCCTACTTTATTAATTCATTCATCAGATATGTACTGGATGCCTATAATGTGCCAAATATTATTTATTCTAGGTTTTGGGGGTACGATGGTGAGCAAAATGGAAATATTTATAGGGAGTATCTGTTCTAGCAATTCTTGTAATCACATTCAGCAATTCTATTTCTAGCTATTTATCCTGCAAATATACTCCCTTGGCTATGAAGTGACATGTGCCAGAATATTCATAGCAGCAGTCTTCATAATAGCAAAAAATAACAAATATTTTAGCCATCAAAAGGTGAAATAGGGTTTCCCTGGTGGCACAGTGGTTGAGAGTCCGCCTGCCGATGCAGGGGACACGGGTTCGTGCCCCGGTCCGGGAAGATCCCACATGCCACGGAGCGGCTAGGCCCGTGAGCCATGGCCGCTGAGCCTGCGCGTCCGGAGCCTGTGCTCTGCAATGGGAGAGGCCACAACAGTGAGAGGCCCGCGTACCGCAAAAAAAAAAAAAAGGTGAAATAAACTATGGTGTATTCATTATGCAGCCATTAAAAAGAATGAGGAAACTCTGCAAACATTGTGTGGAAAGATTTACAAAATATGTTAAGTGAAAACAAAAACAGAATGTACCAAACGATGTACCGATGTGCCATATGCTACTACTATTTGTGTGGGAAACAAAGGGAAAAAAATATATGGATATATTTGGGAATGCACAGAACCAAAGCAGTTACCTACTGGAGGAGAAATGGGTGGCTGTGGACAGGATTTAAGGAAAGCTTCTCACTGAGTACTCTGATACTTTTGAAACTTGGTATGTTTTACCTCTTCAAAAAAATAAAAATATCTCCCCTCCAAAGAAAAGTAGCTACATATATATATATATATATATATATATATATATATATATATAGCAAGTTCATCTCTGCCTCTAGACCTCTGCTGTCCAATATAGCCACATGGAGCACTTGAAATGTGACCACTCTGATTTGAGATGTGTTGTAAGTATAAAATACACACCCCATTTCAAAGACTTAGTAAGAAAAATAGAAATATCTCATTAATTATTTAAAAGTATTGATTGCTGAAATATTTTGGATATATTGGGTTAAAGTATTTTCTTAAACTTAATTTCATGTGTTACTTTTTACTTTTTTAATGTGACTATTAGAAAATTTTAAATTACACATGTAGATCACCTTACGTTTCCACTGGACAATGCTGCTGTAGTCTATAAGCTTTATGAGAGCTGTAGTGTCTGCTTTGTTCACCATTTCATATATTACACATGTCATTTTGTAAATAAAAGGATTCCTCTTTACCTACAATTTTGTTCAAAGACCATATTGTGACTGACCAGAACTATGAACATAGTTTCATTAACATTCAGTATCTAAACTGTTTCTACTCTGGTTTAACATCTTTATTATGTCACGGAATAGCATTTCCAGGGGACCACAGTATCATATTTTACCTAAGATGCCACTAACTATAAGACACATCCCAATTGCAAAAACATCAAAGGTAGAAAAAAATAGCCAATGGCTCTTAACATAAAACTTACCCAGATTTCTGAGATGTTAAATAAGAAGAAATATGCATTTTGGAATCAATGAAACATAGTAACTGAGTCATTTTTTTAAATGAAGTATA